GTCACTGGTACTGGGACACTGAGTACTGGAACACTGGTACTGGGTCACTGGTACTGGAACACTGGGGAATTGCTGGGACACTGGTACAGGGGTCCTGGTACTGGACTGCTAGTACTGGAACACTGGTACTGGGTCCACTGGTACAGGGGTCACTGAGGCTGGGACACTGGTACTGGAACATAGTACTGGGTCACTGGTACAGGGGTCACTGGTACTGGGGACACTGGTACTGGAACACTGGTACTGGAACTTGCTAGTACCCAGGGACACTGAAGGGTACTAGATTCACTGGTACTGGGACACTGGTACTGGGTCACTGTGCTGGGTCATAGTACTGGAACACTGAGTACTGGAACACTGGTACAGGGACACTGGTACTGGGACACTTTGGTGCAAGGTCAGACACTGGGACACTGGTGCTGGAACACTGGTACCTGGAACACTAGTACAGGAGACTGGTACTGGGTCACTGGTGCTAGGACACTGGTACTGGGTCACTGGTACTGGGTCACTGGTACACTGGGTCACTGGTACTGGAACACTGGTACTGGGACACTGGTACTGGGACACACTGGTACAGGGACACTGAGTACTGGGTCACTGGTACTGTGGAGTCACTGGTACTGGGACACTGGTACTGGGTCACTGATGCAGGGTCACTGTTACTGGAACACTGGTACAGGGTCACTGGTACTGGGTCACTGGTACTGGGTCACTAGTACTAGGACACTGGTGCACGGTCACTGGTACTGGAGACACTAGTATTGAGACACGGGTACAGGGACACTGGTACAGGGTCACTGGTGCAAGTTTTACTAGTACTGGGACACTGGTGCTAGGATTCTTTCACGTTGCTGGACTTATGATGCTGGGTCCTGGTACTGGAGACACACTGTTACTGGGTCACTGGTACTGGGTCACTGGTACTGGGACACTGGTACAAGGTCACTGATACTAGGTTTTACTGGTACTGGGACATAGTACAGGGACACTGGTACAGGGACTTGCTGGGCACTGGGTCCACTAATTGCTGGGTCACTGGTACTGGGACACTGGTACTGGGTCACTGGTACAGGGTCACCTAGTACTGGGTTTACTAAGTACTAAGGTCACTAGTGTACTGGGACACTGGTGCTGGGTCCACTAGTGCTGGGACACTGGTACTACAGGTCACTTCATTCTTTCAGATGATCCACTGGTACTGGAACACTAGTACTGGAGACACTGGTACAGGGTTTCACCTGAGCCTGGGACACTGGTACTCTGGGTCACTGGTGCTGGGTCACTGGTGCTAGGACGCTAAAGGTGCTGGGTCACTGGTACGGGAGTGCTGTGCTGGGACACTGGTGCTGGGTCACAGTACTGGGTCACTGGTACAGGTCACTAGTACTAGGTTACTGGTACTGGGTCACTGGTACTGGGACACTGGTACTGGGTCACTAATTGCTGGGTCACTGGTACTGGGACACTGGTGCCTGGGTCACTGGTACAGGGGTCACTGGTACTTTGGGTCCTGGTACAGGGTCACTGAGAACTGGGACACTGGTACTGGGTCACTGGTACTGGGTTTGCTAGTACAGGGTCACTGGTACAAGGACACTAGTGCTAGTCACTGGTACAGGGGACTTACTGGTGCAAGGGACACTAGTACAGGACACTGGTACTGGGACACTAATTTTAGGGAGACACTATTTTCAGGGACACTAGTGCTGGAGTCACTGGTACTGAGATTACTGGTACTGGGACACTGGTACGAGGACACTGGTACGGGGACACTTCAGGTACTGGGACACTGGTGCACAGGACACTAGTGCTGGGTCACTGGTAATGGGACACTGGTACTGGGACACTGGTGCACAGGACACTGAGTAGTACTGGGACACTGGTGCTGGGACTTAGTACAAGAGACCTGGTACTCATTTGGTCACTGGTGCTGGGTCCCTGGTACCAGGTCACTGGTACAGGGACACTGAGTACTGGGACACTGTTCTGGGTCACTGAGTACTGGGACACTGGTACAGGGACACTGATACTGGGACACTGGTACTGGGACACTGGTACTGGGACACTGAGTACAGGACATAGTGCTGGGACACTGAGTACAGGGACACTGGTACTGGTCACTGCTGCTGGAGTCCACTGGTACTTTCAGTCACTAGTACAGGGTCACTGGTACTAGGTCACTGGTACTGAGTCACTGAGTCAGGGTCACTGGTACTGAATCACTAATTACTTTGGGTCTTTAAGTGCCTAGGTCACTGGTACTGGAACCTGTTTGGGTCACTGGTACAAAATTCACTGGTACTGGGTCCACTGGTACAGGGTCACTGGTACTGGTTACTAGTGCTGGGTCACTGGTACTGGGTCACTAGTACTGGGTCACTAGTACAGGGTCACTGGTACTGAGTCACTATTACTTTGGTCACACTAATTTTGCAGGTCCTAGTACAGGGTCACTAGTGCTGGGTCACTAATGCAAGTCACGGTACTAGGTCACTGGTACAGGGTCTGCAGGCACTGATCTTCATTTAGGGTCTGCCTGGTACTGGAGTCACTAGTACTGGGACTGGTACAGTCACTAGTACTGGAGTCACTGGTACAGGGTCATAATGCTGGGTTTCTACTGGTACTAGGTCACTAGTACAGGGTCACACTAGTACTGGGTCACTGAGTACTGGGTCACTAGTACAGGGACACTGGTATAGATGCTAATTGCTAGGTCACTGGTACTGGAACTGCTAGTGCTGGAGACACTGGTGCTGGTCACTGGTACAGGGGACTTGCTGGTACTGGAGATTTACTATTGCTGGGACACTGGTACTGGGTCACGTACAGGGACACTGAGCCACTGGAACACTGGTACACTGGGACTGGTACTGGGACCTGGTACTGGAACACTGGTACTGGGACACTTTCTGGTACTGGGGTCACTGGTACTGGGTCACTGGTACTGGAACACTGGTGCTGGGTCACTGGTACTGGGACACTGGTACTGTGTCACTGGACCTGGGACTTTGGTACAGGGACACTAGTACCAGGGACTGCTAGTACTGGGAGGTTACTAATTGCTGGGTCACTGGTACAGGGTCACTGGTACTGGAACACCTGGTACTGGGACACTGGTACTGGGTCACTGGTACTGGGTCACTGGTACTGGGTCACTGGTACTTTCTGGAACACTAGTACAGGACACTGGTGCTGGGTCACTGGTACAGGTCACTGAGTACTGAACACTGGTACTGGGTCCTGGTACTGGGACACTGTTACTGGTCACTAGTACTGGTCACTGGGTACTGGGACACTGGTACAGGGACACTGGTACTGGGACTTTTACTGGTACTGGGTCACTGGTACAGGGACACTGGTACTACGGGACACGTACTGGGTCACTGGTACTGGGTCACTAATTTTGGGACACTGGTACTGGGACACTGTTACTGGAGTCACTGATGCCTGAGTCACTAGTACAGGAGACACTGGTACTAGGACACTGGTGCTGGGACACTGGTGCTGGGTCACTGGTACAGTCACTAGTACTGGAACACTGGTACTGGAGCACTGGTACTGGTCACTGGTACTGGAACTGCTAGTACTGGGACACTGGTACTGCGGGACACACTGGGTACTAGGTCACTGGTGCAGGGACCTGAGGTGCTGGGACCTGGTGCAGGGGACACAAGTGCGCTGAGACCACCTGAGTGCGCTGGGTCAGCTGGTACAGGGACACTGGTACTGGGACACTGGTACAGGGACACTGGTGCCTGGAGTCACCTGGTGCTGGGACACTGGTACTGGGACACTGGTACAGGGACACTGGTGCTGGGACACTGAGTACTGGGTCACTGGTGCTGGGTTTCACTGGTGCTGGGACACTGGTGCAGGGACGCTAGTGCTGGGACACTGGTACTGGGACACTGGTACTGGGACACTGGTACAGGGACACTGGTGCTGGGTCACTGGTGCTGGTCCGCTGAATTACCAGGGCCCGCACAAAGTCTTCCAGGTCACTAGTTCTGGGTCACTAGTACTGGGTCACTAGTACTGAGACTTACCCTAATTGCCTGGGACACTGGTACTGGGTCACTGGTACTGGTCACTAAGGTACTGGGTCTTTCAGTACTGAGTCACTGGTACTGGGTCCACTGGTACTGGTCACTGGTGCTGGGACACTGATGCTGGTTCACTAGTGCACAGTCTTTGGTACTGGAGTCACTGGTACTGGGACACTGGTACTGGGTCACTGGTGCTGGGACACTGGTACTGGGACACTGGTACTGGGACACTGGTACTGGGACTTTTCAGGTACTGGGACCCCACTGAGGTACTCGGAACACTGGTACAGGGACACTGGTACTGGGTCACTGGTGCTGGGGTCACTGGTACTGGGTCACTGGTACTGGGACACTGGTGCTGGGTCACTGGTACTGGGACACTGGTGCTGGGACACTGGTACTGGGTCACTGGTACTGGGTCACTGGTACTGGGTCACTGGTACTGGAACACTGAGTACTGGTCACTGGTACTGGAACACTGGTACTGGGTCACTGGTGCTGGAACACTGGTACTGGAACACTGGTACTGGGTCACTGGTGCTGGGACACTGGTACTGGGACACTGGTACTGGGTCACTGTACTGAGTCACTGAGCCACTGGGTTTAACAGGTGCTGGGAACCACTAGTACTACAGAACACTGGTACTGGGGACACTGGTGCTGGGACACTGGTACTGGGACTTGCTAGTACAGGGACCTGGGTACTGGGTCACTGGTACTGGAGTCACTGGTGCAGGGACACTGATACTGGGTCTTTGGTACTGGGTCACTGTGCTGAGACACTGATGCTGGGTCACTGGTACTGGGTCACTAGTACTGGGTCACTGGTACTGGGTACTAGTACTGGAACACTGGTACTGGAACACTGGTACTGGGACACTGGTACTGGGACACTGGTACTGGACACTGGTACAGGGACACTGGTACTGGGTCACTGGTACTGAGTCACTAATTATGAGTCACTCTACTGGGACACTGGTACTGGGTCACTGGTGCCAGTCCTGGTGCTGGGTTTGCCTGGGTACTAGGACACCTAAGGTACTGAGACCACTGTGGTGCAGACCACTGTGGTGCCTGGGACACTGGTGCAAGGAACTGGTACTGGGTCACTGGTACTGGTCACTGGTACTGGAACTACTGAGTACTGGAACACTGGTACTGGGTCACTGGTACTGGGACACTGGTACTGGGACACTGAGTACTGGGACCACCTGAGTACTGGAACCACTGGTACTGGTGGGGCAGTACTGGGTCACTGGTACTGGACACTGGTACTGGAACTGCCTAGTACTGGAAAACTGGTACTGGAACACTGGTACTGGGTCACTGGTACTGGGACACTGGTACTGCAGGTCACTGGTACTGGGTCACTGGTACTGGAACACTGGTACTGGAACACTGGTACTGTAGGTCACTGGTACTGGGTCACTGGTACTGGAACACTGGTACTGGAACACTTTGGTGCTGGGTCCAACAGGTACTGGGACACTGGGTACTGGAGTCCACTAAATTCTTGGGTCACTGGTACTGGAACACTGGTACTTTCTGGAACACTGGTCTGGGTCACTGGTCACTGGGTGCTAGTGCCTTTCTGGGACACTGGTACTGGGTCACTGGTACTTTCAAGTCCTGGGTACTGGGACTATGAGTGCCTGAGGTCCACTGAGCACTACAGAGTCCACTGAGTACTGGAACCTAGTGCTGAGTCACTGGTACTGCACACACGGGGCCACTGGTGCTGGAACCCCCACTGTTACTGGGACACTGGTACTGGGACACTGGTACTGGAGTCGCTGGTACTGGGTCACTGATACTGGTCCTGGTGGGTCACTGGTGCTAGGTCCCACTGGTGCTAGGTCACTGGTGCTAGGGACACTGGTGCAGAACACACTAATTACTGGGTCACTGGTGCTGGGCCACTGGTGCTGGAGTCCACTAAGGTGCTAGGACCTGGGTACTAGGTCACTGAGTGCTGGGACACTGGTACTGGGACACTGGTGCTGAGACACTGGTGCTGGGACACTGGTGCTGAGGTGTGGTGACTCTCGTTGTGCTGCCCAGGAGATGGCTCACTTGCTGTGCTTGAGCCCTGTGCCACCTAGAGCCTAATGCTTGCCCACCTGAGCCCACTAAATGCAACCCACCTGGGCCCACTAAATGCCCAGCCACAGGCCCTCGTGCATACTGGGCCACTAAAATGCTTGCCCACATGAGGCCACTTCAATGCAGCCACCTGGGCACTAAATGCTTGCCACCCTGAGCCACTAAATGCTAGCCACCTGAGCCACTAAATGCTGAGCACCTAGGCCACTAAATGCTTTGCCCCTAAGCCACTAAATACTAGCCACCTGAGCCCACTAAATGCCCTGAGCCACTAAGTACTTCAGCCACCCGAGCCACCAGCTGCCTACTGCAGGTGTAAACCCTTGAAGAGTCGACTGTATACTTTTGAACATGCTTTATTTACGCTAGCCCAGATTCATATATGGGATATTTATATTTTTTTATGGGTAGGGTTGGTTAACTTTAACCTATGCAAATTCTTACACTTTTTGATTTACCTAGAGAGTCAAGAAGAACTTCATTTAATACTCAGGGCAATAGTGTGCTCTCTCTCTCTCCTCTCTCTCTCTCTCTCTCTCCTCTCTCTCTCTCTCTCTCTCTCTTTTTGAATCCAAGTCTGGGTCAGTGAATAACATTAATTATCTCTTGGTATTTACTTCAATATTCTTAGGGAAAGTTTTTTATTCTCTTACCTCATTCAAGTTCAATTCTTCTATTTTTACTGAGCAGGTTTGATTTTTTTGGTTTTATTTCATTTGCTTTCCTGTTAGCTGTGGCGTGCCACAGATTTAAGCTCTGCAAACCCATGCAAGACCCATATATATATGCTCTGTCAGTTATCAATCTCAAGTAGATATGGCCTCTCTCTAAATAAAAAGTTTATTTAGCTTTTATAAACACCTAAAACATACTACAATTTAAATATCATACCTCTGAATATTTAATTACAATTAAACCCTCTTAACATCTGTGAGTTTAGCATCTGGATTTCCAAATAAGCTGGATTGCCCTTGGGAGAATATTCTGTACATTAAGTAATTAGCGTACATTTGTCCTTTGGTACCATTTCCACTTTCATGGCCTTGACACCCGAACCTGGGACACCGCCGCTCCGCAACCTCACACACACACCACGCGCATAGCTCTCCCTCACTCCAGTCAGTCTCGCTGTAGCCCTCAGCCTGTTGACCTCTACAAGCATTGTCAGTTGCAAAAATAATACATTTCCGTGAATGTTTTTATAATAAAGCACACAGTATGAATAGAATATCACTAATATAATGATGTTTTAACCGAAAACTATTAAAAAAACGAGTAACATATCTTGAACATTGGAAGGTTGGGTAGTCTTTTTGGCACCATGTAGTTTATCTAATTGCGACTTCCCAAATACCTTCATTTCAAGCGAAACACTAACTTCTTCTAAAGAAATACCTTCATTCAGGCGCGGTTTTAGGTAAAATATGCATTACTTGTTCTCAATAGTTTTTTTAATTGAAAACTTGATTCGCTCACGTGCCCTCTAACCCTGTTCAAGGAGAGGACTGGGAGGAGCTGTTTGATGCTGAGAAAGAAATAGGTAATAAAAAGGAAATGATTTTTGATAGTTTTAATTAAAATATTCAGAAATATGGTATGTTAGTATTTATTCAAAGTGAATTAGGATGCGAATATTATTGTAATAAAAGCAAAGTAGTGACGATGTGTGGAGGAGGAGGATAGAGCAGGGAGGTGGTGTGAGAGTGGAGATACTGTAGTACCTTCACAGATTGCTTCTAGTATTAATTGTTTTATAGCTCTTTTGCATTTTAATATTAAACCACCATGCAGCTACGTTTCAACAAACTACTATTTGTTCTGAGAATACGAATGTAATATTTTGGCTGAAATAGCGTCGTATTACAGTGAAGAGTGGGATAAAATCATGTGAAAACAATGACAAAGCTTTCTTTAGTTGTTCAAAAATGTTACTGTAATCCAACTTCTCAAATGGTTTCAGTTGTGGGATTATATGAGGCTAATGATGAGGATGGAGAATATTGTTGTAGCCACAGTACCTTAGTTTTTAACTGAAAACCATTCGGCGATTACGATATGCACAACAACAGTCGTGTTTTTGTCTCAGTCGTCATTCAACTTTCAAACATTCCATATTCTGAGAATATATTCATTCCAGTCACAGTTGGGTAAAAATATACTTGTAATATAATATTTTAATGAAAATACGATTATAAATGATTTTCTTTGTTTCAAATTTAATTAACAAAAGGGTAGATATTTCGTCATAACTGAACAAAATTTATGCTTGCAATTATCTAAACCAACTTTAAAAATGAATACTTTATGCTTTACATAGATATATTTTCACCATACCACACATTTGACTGCTTTTGAACTTTTATGATGGCCTTGAATCTGCCTAGCAGCTGTATAAAGCCACCCAAGCTGAGGGTAATGCGTCATTTTGCATTAATTTTACTATTGAATTTACTGGTAAATATTTTCCTTCTTTAACTAACTACAGTTTAGAGGTAGATCCCAATTTTTGACAAATAATTTGGTCTTAAAAACTCAGACTACACACAGGTATATCACAGGTAAAATAAGGACATATTGGGGGAACATTACATGAGAGGGCAACATAGTACGGATTTTTAGCATTCACGGTGTCTCAATTTACTAACTTGCTTGTTAATATTAAAAAGGCCTAATACCTTAAAATTCAGCTCTGGAATTTGACTGGCAAAATTCTTCGCCACTATTTAGAAAAGAATTCTTTACTCCCATTTCTGCCATAACTTTTACAGGTAAAATTAAAAAGAGATCTGAGAGTCTTTGTTGTCCTTGAGAATTAAAAATAATAATGTGGACCAGTTTTGTCCAGCTGACGGTGTGACTGGCTGTGAGCTCCATACCCTATCTTAGCCAAGCCACCTACATGGCTACACACACACCACATACAAACACACACATACATACAAACACACACATACAAACTCTACACTCTAGCTTTGTTTCACGGAGTTGGATAGAGTCATTTATTTTTTATCTGGTCATCATTTGCACCAAGGCTCTTAATTTTAATGGGGTTATTTTAATATTTTTCTACATTATTTACGTAGTTTTTACTTTTATTTGGGTCTTCATTTACTCCTCCTGCTTTTACTAGCTTTATCACCTTTCCTGCTCAGGGTGTTTCTCTGCCTGAATCTTTGGAGTCTTTTGCCTTAGTGCTTAGTGTAGCTTCTCTTTGTGTTTAAGTCTGATCATCAACAATGTTTATATTAATGTATGTGGGATTGAGTAGCCCAGAGTGCTGTGTTTTAGCTTAACTTAACATATTACATTAAGTAATGTTAAAACCAAGGCCTATTCGTAGCCTCATCTTTACCAGGTATACAACTCTTCTGATATTTTCGGCTCTGATCCTGCCGATCGTTAAGAAAAAAAGAACCGGGTTTACCTCCACCACGTCTGTACCCTCTCCTGTTAAATAGGTCGTTCTTTCGAGATTTTCTTTATCCATCCCAATCATATTTGGTGTTACATACTAAATCGGAGATATGGCTATTTAGACCTACACTATTCCATGAGGATGATTCATAAACCTCTTCTTCTAGAGTATGGGTATTTATTTTTATCTTATTTTTACAAATCTTCATACAATTTCTTACAGAGTCATTGCCTAACTCCAGTTGCTGTTCTCTATCTTGGTCTCTGTATCTTGTTTCTACCTTAAATCTGTATATTGGTCTCTTTCTCTTGTTTCTACCTTAAATCTGTATATTGGTCTCTTTCTCTTGTTTTCTGTAAATCTGTATATTAGTCTCTTTCTCTTGTTTCTACCTTAAATCTGTATATTGAGGTCTCTTTCTTGTTTCTTAAATCTGTATATTGGCCTCTTTCTCTTGTTTCTACCTTAAGTCTAACCACTTTCCTTCAGACCTGCTTCCTGCTTGTTTCTACCTTAAATCTGTATATTGGTCTCTTTCTCTTGTTTCTACCTTAAATCTGTATATTGGTCCTCTTCTCTTGTTTCTACCTTAAATCTGTATATTGGTGTCTTTCTCTTGTTTCTGTAAATCTGTATATTGGTCTCTTTCTCTTGTTTCTACCTTAAATCTGTATATTGGTTTCCTTTCTCTTGTTTTCTACCTTAAATCTGTATATTGGTCTCTTTCTCTTGTTTTCTACCTTAAATCATATATTGAATTACTCTTTCTCTTGTTTTCTACATAAATCTATGTTAGCTCTTTCTCTTGTTTCTACCTTAAATCACCTTCATATTGGCCTCTTTCTCTTGCTTCCTACCTTAAAATCCTGTATATTAGCCTCTTTCTCTTGTTTCTACCTTAAATCTGTATATTGGTCTCTCTCTTGTTTCTACCCTTAAATCTGTATATTGGTTTCTTTCTCTTCATTTCTACCTTAGAAAATCTGTGGTCTCTTTCTCTGTTTCTACCTTAAATCTGTATATTGGTCTCTTTCTCTTGTTTCTACCTTAATCTGTATATTGGCCTCTTTCTCTTGTTTCTACCTTAATCTTCTTAGCCTCTTTCTCTTATTTCTACTACCAAAATCTGTATATTGGTCTCTTTCTCTTGTTTCTACCTTAAATCAT